GATATTAAGGGCTCAAGTAGAAGGCAAAAGTTTTGAGAATGATGATGGCAACAAATGTACATATGTACTTGACACAATGGATGGATGTGTGGATTGTGATAAGAATTGTATGAGCCCCCAATAAAATGATTTTTTAAGATTGGTAACCACATTGTACATGAAAAAAAAACCATCCTGAGTTCAAATCTTGGTTCTGTGATCTTTGGCAATTAGAATTGTTGTGATGATTAATGGTGAGAGAATCATGAAAAGTTCTTCCCAAAGTATCTGGTATAAAATAGCTCTTATATTCAAGAAAAGTCATCTACTATTGTACTAAGGAGGGCAAAATAATTAAATTCCTTTCATTTTGCTGTAAAAAACAAAACAAAAAAAGAATTACAGTCTTACAAACTCACAGGAGCAGTTCTACCCTGTCCTATAGGGTCCCTCCCTATGTATCAGTATTGACTCTGTGACAATCAGATGGTTTTTTTAAAAATCCAGACACTTTACATGTTTATCAGTTCACTTAATCTCCCCAGTATTCATTTTAGTTACTAACATCATCTCTATTTTATAGAGGAATAAATGAGTGCTGTACATGGTGGAGATAGTGTTTGATCACAGGTATACTAATCCCACACTCTACCCAACAGTGACTGTCATTGACCATTTTAGCTAATTGAAATGAAAAAGAAGAGAGATCTAAGGAAATGCACTATCATTTTGACCAGGTTCATCAAAACATGCTTTACTCTCAGACTACCTATGTTGGATGCTTCTGGAAAATGTATAATTTCCTTTGAACCAAAACCCCGCAAAACTTATCTAAATGAATAAGTTATGTCTGCTTTGAGCATTGGGATTTTTAAAAGAAGCATCTATGTGATGTCAAACGGACAAAAGCAATGCCAAAGTTTGGAGGAGGCAATGCGTTTGAGATAAGTGTGGTAGACCAATTTGGCAAAGGCTAGCAACTTGAAAAATGTAGTCAATGTCCTTGAATTTCACATGGAGACATTATTTATAAAGTGGATAATTGTATATACATTTAAAACACAAAAAGTTTCATAGATGGGCTATTTCTCAGCTCATTAATTTTACTTCTCTTTTAATTTTAATTTCTGCATGACCTATATATGTGTTTATCACCATATCACTGGAGGGGAACTTTTGAATATATTTTCAATAGAGGTATGCAGCTTCAAAAACATAACAATGTTATTAATTCACATCACAATAAGATAAAATAAATAGGTTAATTGAACTTATACTTATTTCCATTTTAGAAATAGGGAAGATCCTCAAAGAATTGAAAATGGCATTTTATTTATTATTAACACTAAGACCTGCATTTCAAATGCCTGGGCTTTGTTATTTTTTCTTATAATTAGTAACTATACTTGTTTATTGTATAAAATTGGAATGAATACTTCTTGAAAGTTTTGATGAGCTTAATTCACACAGAAAGTTATCAGATCACTGTATCCTGGTTAAAAGTTGTTATTAAGGTATCCACAAGTTGGTTCCAACTCATAGTGCCGCAGGTGCAACAGATGGAAGCACTGGCGAGGCCCTCCCATCCCCGCCGGCAACACGGCGTGTCATCCCACACTTGCAGCCGCTGTGTCAAAGCCATCACATTTGAAAGTACTCATCTTTTTTCCTGGACTCCACGCTGTAACA